AGAAAAATTAATAACAATACGTCGAAATAAAATATATATCTTATATTAACGTCACCATCTTAGAATAAAAAAAAGGAAAGATTTTCTTCTATCTTATTAACTTTATAATAATTTCCTCTAGTTTTATTGTCTGAATTTCCGACAAAATAAACTATTAATCAAAAAATTGTAAAGATATCAATCAAATTACTCTCATATTGTCTATATATATATATATACATATATAGAAGGAGGAAATGCTTCTCAACATTATTATATCAAAAAGACACAATAGGCTTTGTTATGACTATTTTTACATGGAATATAATGTCAAAGAATCTTCAAAAAAAAAAAAAGAATCATAAGTTGATTCGAAATAATTTTAATATAACAAATGACATTTTCTATTTCTGTTTAAACACTTACTAATGTATATTTTGAACCATGTTGATAAATTAAACCAAATCGTGTCCAATTAAAATATTGTAAGAGTTGTTTACGAACTAAATTATGAGCATGATCTGATGGTACAATATGATAAAAATATGAATAACGATCTTTAGCTGATAATGAAAGATCACTATCAGTAAATGAAACCTAAATAATAATAAAAAAGTAATAATAATAATAATAAATAATTCTATCTTAATTCATTAATATACATACAACAGGTAAATGAAAATAAGTTGCTATTTCAGCTATATAATTAAGTACATTTTGACAAGCATCCGTAAATAAGATATTTAATGGTGATGATGATTGATTAATCATATCAAAAAATGTTTTTACACTACTACCAACATCACACTACAAAAAAAAAGAATAAAACAAAAAATAAAATTTTGAAAAAGAATATTTATCATATTGATAAATCTACATGAATAAATCCTTCAGTTTCATTGAGATAAAATTCAAGATTTATTTGTGATAATAATTGTGAATTGACTTGTTCAAGAGCAAAATGTATTGATGGATAATGTAAATGTGTAAATAAACCATTGAGAATAATACGTTGTCGATTAATATTTACATGATGATGATTATAATAATTGGGAAGTACAGAATAAAATAATATAATAATAAGAACAAAAAATAATCGAAATGATTCGGTGCCCATTCATTGCAATTCAACTCATCTAGATAATAAAAACAAAACAAAATAAAATTAAAAATAGTAAAAAAAAGAAGAAAATATAACATAATAATAATCATAATCATCATCATCATCATCAATTTTAGTTATAGTTGAATAATAATATTAGCTAAATGAGAAAAAAAACATGAATAGATAATCTTGAATGAATCGAAACATATTTAACTAAACTCATTTGAGAATTTTCTGCTTGCTCGGATGTAACAAATATAAAACAGTGAATCAAATACAATAAGAACTAAATATAACGACGTGTGCATAATAAGTAGAAATGTTGAGAATATTTTCCTTTTTCTACGTGTGAATGTTTCTCTCTCTTCGTTGATTTACATCTCATAGTATTGTGTTATCTAATTTACTCATTCGCTTTGTGTCTCGTTAGTTCGATGGAAGTCTTCCATTTTTCTTTTCCTGTTCGCTTTTCGCTTGTAGGTTTCTTTCTATACGTTAGTATGCAATCAATCAATCGCGAACTAAACAATCCGAATGAAGAGAATGAGTGTGGGAGAGGGAGAGAGAGAGAGAGAAGTGTTAGGGGCGGGACGATACTGTGAAGAAAATCTGTAAACATACTATGCCGCAACTATTAACTCGTCACCAAATATACAAAAAGTAATAGGAAAAAAATGAAGAAAATAAACGACTTGCGATATAATTGTTCACTTAGCTATAATGTCTGTCTCTCTTACTGATCATTGATGCCGTCGTCATTTTCACACACACATACATTCATTCTTACTCAGTTTCTGTCTTTTTTTCTCGAGAATAGCCGTCGGTGGTATGTGGGAATGAGTAGAAAGCATAGAAGCATTTTAATAAAGAAGACTATGTAGAAGTTGATGAGAAGAGAGAAATAGCAGGAGATAGAGAGAAGGAAGGACGTCTGCACTGTCAAAAAACAAGACAGTATTCACCAAGACAAATCGTATTTTCGTCAAATGAGTTTCCCGTCACTACTCGTAAACATACACAAGTCTAAATGAACACAAGTTGTCATTTGTCTTGCTAATCTAATATCTAGATATATAGGGTTACTTTTATTGTCGTAGTCGTTTAGTTTGACATCGTAATGTATTAGTACTTATTAGTACATAAAAAGAAAAACCAATAGAATGAGACATTTAAGTCTATTGATCATTCTCAATTACAATATTGATTGACTAATATAGAAAAAAAAAAAACTCGAAGAAAAATAAAAAAACGTAAGAATAAAAACGGAACTAACTCTCTAAGGGGTATAACCCGTTGATTACGACGGTAAAATGAAAAGAATAAGAAAAATTACCAATTACTCGGCAAAACAGTCACAAACAAAAGAAACCTATGTGTATATGACGTTACAATGTCGATAGGCTACTTTATGCGAAAGAGATAGGACGAGAAAACGAGACCAAACTTATTCAATATACTTATTGAAGATCTTTTTTATCTCTATCCATTAGTGATGCATTGCTGCGCAAGTGAATCTATATGTCAAAAGAGAGAAATACTGTTGTTATGATTGCTAAGAAATAAGTTGGATTAGATCTATGAATGAATGATAAGTAAGTTATGTCGAGTTCTTCTTCTTCTTCTTCTTCTTCTTCTTCTTTTTCTTTTTCGTTCATATAGAAATGTCACACTATATTGTGTATGTGCATGTTTTCCTGTAAATAACGATTGACACATAAGAGTCGAGGAAAAATCACTGCATCCGCTCCGGACACTTTATTAGCCGAAGCAAAATCAATTTATACAAATACATATATATATATATATATATATATATATACACTGATTTGCCCTCTCAAACAAAAATACTTACAATTATATAATAATATTAGTAGGACCAGTAGTATGAAATAAAAGTAAATTGTAACAAAAAAATTATTATAATAGTCAAAATTAAATCTATTGTTTAACAATGAATAATAATATTTCTATTTTTAATATATTAATAATAATACACAGCATAATGTCATAATTATACCATCGATCAATCTTCCGGTTTTTAAAAAAAAAAGAAGAAAGAAAAAATGTTTATTTGTCCTTCATAAATATACTAAACTGATTGAAGTAGGACGTCATATAAAAACAAGATTACGAAGTCTTATCTATCTATATATATATATTTGTTGTTCAAGTAACGATACAATCATCAATCGTCTATAATCATTTTATATAAAAGAATATGTTCAGAAATAGATCACATTTTTATTGATGACTTTGTCTATAAAGATTCATAATTCTTATTTAAATGTTTATAAACATTGATAATATTTGTAACGATATGATTTTTATAGGCATGTCTGGCTTTGTCATTACAATCAAGGTGTTAAATATGTTGGAAAACATAGAAAATAACTTATTTCCCGGAAGACTTAATAACTCTAAGCGTTTGTTTTCTATCGAGTCTTAATCTGAAAATTATTTATAAGCTCCGAATCGAACTTTGTTTTTGACATAAAACTTCATAAACAAGTCGATTCAAAGATTATTTTTAGTATATTTATACAAATATTATAGGACATATTCAAATATATGTTTAAATTTTGTATACTAATAGATTTTCTCAAAAAATTCATTTCTTTTTATTGTGAATACCTCGGAAGAAATTCTTACAAACTTTTTTTTCTTTAAAACGAAACATCTAATTCATCTACTAATGAAAGTGACTATGACAGTATGATGGACTTCGTCAGATTAGAAACGACATATAATTATAGAGCAATATATATTTTATTGTAATTACATGACAATCATGTGTCAGTAACAGGCAAAAAGTTGTTATTCTAAAGGAGTACTAGTCGATATGATTTTTCGAGCTGGATATTGTTTTGAAAACCAATGATAATCTCTAGAGATTATCTTATGACAATAAAAAAAATAAAAATAAAATGACATTACTATTGAGAATTGTTACAAAGTGTGTCATTGTTGTTTTTCTGTATGTAAAAGCTGGAAAATCTATTACATCGACAACCAAGATCTTTAAAAAAAAAGAAAAAAGAAGAAAATTATTTAACGATTACGTTGAATAATTCTATATGTCATCCATTCATGCACAAATGTCTTTTCTTGATGAATATAAGTCATTTATTAGATTGCACTTAACAGAATAACATTTTAAAAAAATGCAATATTTGTTTATCTTTTCAATAAATACGACAAAATATTTCTATCTAATGAATGTTATAAATCGAAAAAGAAAAACACTGTTCAATATAAAAGTTGAGGTCAAAATGATATTGGGTTAGGGTGAAACAGTAGAATATTCACGAAAAACATATGTGTAAGAGAATAATTCAATAATTTATATTTAAAATTAATTAATCAAGTTTGTTGCTAATAGTGACGTAACCAATGTGGATGTTGAGCTTAGATATAAACGGGAGCGTATTGTTTTTGATCCTGACAGAATCAAGATTGGAACCATCTTGCTCATATCTGGCTGAAACTCTTCATCGATCGAAGCCAGGCAATCAAACACAAAACTCAGCTGAGTTCAACCTTCAAATCTTCACTATCAAAACCCTGGTTATGCCTCTAGGCACTAATATTATTTGTATATTATTATCATTGTTATGAAGAGTTCTTGTGATTTCGTAGATGTCACTTATGTACAGTAGTTCAAAAACAAACTAGAAAAAAAAACGGATGTTTGGTTAACGTCAGTGCCATAAAAGTTTAAAAAAATTTTACACATGACCTTGATTTTTTGATGATCTTTCAATTCATGTGAACTTTTTTTGAAAATCCATAAATTATCATATGGAATTCAAGTTCAAAAAAATAATTTGCATGTATGAACGAATGTTCTGTGTATTTATTTAAACAATTGTAATATTTATTATGGTTTCGCTTCATTGATCGAATGCGTTTATTTTAGATGGATGAAAATATACTTCGTTCACGTCAAAAAGTAGCAAGTAAAAGTAGTGATAAAACTTCCGATCAAGAAGAAGAAAAGATGTTAATAAAAAATCGAAAACAAATTGCTGAAAATTATGATTTTGGTGATGTACAAAAAATTCCATCTAATATTGAAAATATTATGGAGAAAAATTTTTTGCGTATATTTATTTGGGAATTATATTTTGGTGAAATATCTTTTCGATAATAATTATTTTAAGAGAATAATTATTTTTTCTTGTGATATAGGATATATTTTTTGGACAATTTTTTTTGGTATTGGTCCAATGGTTATGTTTTTTCCTATGGTAAAATTAGCTATACATGGTTATGAAATATTAATACTTAGTTTAGCAAGTCCAATTATACTTTGGCCGTCATTAGTAAATAATATTGCACAAGTTGGTTTTGTTTCTTTTGTTGAATCTTCTGATTAAAAATGATTTTTGTTTTTCGTATAGAGTACTATTGGAAAATTAATTACTCGTATTATAGTAATTATTAGTTTATTATCATTTCAATTAGAAGATCCTCTATTACGATTATTAATACTTTCATGGGGTACTTGCGCTGTTATGATTGATCTTTGCACAAGTCTTAATACACGATATTATTCATATAGGTAAATATATTTTATTTTAATTTTAAATACTAGACAAAAAACAAATGATTATTTTTCATATTTAGATCAATTGTTGTTTGGACATTGACAATTAGTTTTTTTTTCTTTCTTAGTCTTCGTATTTGTTTTTTAAGCATTATGCCAGCATGGTCAGGTGTTATTGCAAATTTAATACATTTTGTTATTGGAGTTGGAGCAATCATTGATCAATTTGGAAGAGGTAGAAAAAAAAATTTATTCAACAGCATCTAATTACATGAAATGATAGAATAACAAATTCATCTGAAATACTTGACTTAAAGCATTAGTATTTTTATTAACCAACTTTCAGCTAAGATTTAACTTTCAATATGTAGAGATGTCTATGACAGTGCTGTCGTCATCGCGACGGCATCAGTGACACTTTTTTTAAATCACTGCGGCATGTCAGCGACAGATTTCCAATCTCAATGGATGCCTTTGATATTATAGAATGTTTCATAAATTCTGAATCTCGATGAAAATTAATTTATAGACAGACATGAAATGATTTCTAACTGAATGCATCTATATTGGTTTAAAATAAAGTGAAGTACATAAACACATTCTGTGTCCAACGAAATACAATAATACTATACCGGATGAAAAATTTTCATTTTCCAATATTCGTATCTTGCCTGCATTTTAAATTGTTTATACTATATATATATAATTTGACTCATTATTTAAGTTCTTATAGATATCTTCAGTTAAAGATCATTTCTTATCTGTACATAAATTAATTTTTATCGAAATTCAGAACTTATGAAACATTCTATATGGACAAAACCATTCGTTAGCCATGTGAATTCATAAAATTAAAACATGTATATCTTGAGACAGTCAACTTTCCTAGAACTCATTTTTATATGTTAAGTTACTCTAGATACCTTAAAAAAGAATCAGTACTAAGAGACTTCTGTTCGGAAGAGATATCAATAAAAAAAAACTAGCGTTAGTAATGTGACACAAGAAAAGAATATCGACTTTTATTTCATGCATTTTAATTTAAAAAACCTCATGATTGAAGCAGCATTTTTGAATTTTGTAGACAATATTATGTGGCAATTACTTCCATCAATATCATTTGATTTATCTTCAACAAAATCCACACTTGGTATGCTATTTAATTTTTTTTTGTTTTTTCGTTCGTATTAGTTGAATGAATGAAAGTTTTTTTATTATATCGTTTTTTTTTGTTCTATTTCGAGGAGTGAATCCATTACGTTCAGCATCACGTGAAAATATTTTACAACCAAATTGGTTATTAGTTGGTATTGGATTTGGTAGTTTATTATTTAATCTTCAATGGGTATTTGGTGATCTATCAGTTGTTAGTCGATGGGCTTCGAATGGTTATCCAAATCAAGCACTCGATCCAATACCTTATGGGTAAAGGACAAGATATTTTTTATTTGTTTTCTAACTAAAAAAAAAAGAAATTATCTTCTTGTTTTTTTGCTTTTCAAGTCTTCTCATATTGTTTGGTTTATTTTGTGGTATTGTAATAATCAATCGTCTTAATATAGTAACAAATCGATGGTGGGCATCGATAGGTTTTCTCGGTTATGGTTTGTTATATTTCAGTCGTGGAAATACTTCATTTATGGGTAAATGAAAAATTTTATTTTATGTATTTGATTGTTTTTTTTTTGAATTTTTTCAAAAAAAGGTGGTTTTGCTCTAAGTATATTTATTGGTTCAATACTTCTATTATTATTTGATAAAATAGCTCGTGGTCTTTCGGCACATATTGTTTTTATTGCTGCTTTTGTATATATTATTCAAGTTATTTATGCTGTTTGGACAAGTGCTTATAATTTTGTTCCATTTGGTGGAACATTAACACGAGAAACATCTCATATTTTAGTATTCTTTAATTTTCTTGGCATTTATTTTGGAGTTTATACTGCTAGTAAGAAAATTTCAACGAGTATTTTATTCTTACAAATAAATATAAATTATGTATTTAGAACATAATTTAGGAACGTATATACGTGGTCATATTTCGTCAATAAATTTACCAAATCGTCAAATTTGGTCAGGTAAGAAGTAGTGATGTAAATCAACCGTAGGTGTGAGAGAGAGAAGCGCACAATGGAAGTCTCTCAACTGATAAATAGCTGTTGAGTCAAGACTACATGCATTATGTAGAATCAAATGAACTTTGAATACTCTGAAAGTAGTTCAAGCTACAGCTTATTACTGTTGACATACTGCACATTTATCGTAGTTTTTAAATGAATGGCATGGTACCTCTCAGAAATATGACAACGAATACAGACTAAAATGTCCTTCAGAGTAAATGTTCTTAGTTGAAATGTCCCTCATCTTCAACTCTTGTCCTTTAAATACCATATCACTGAAACGTAGATGACACTCTAATCCAAATACACTTCGGCAGATATTTAAATTGTTTATTTATATTATATTTTATAAATAATCACAACAAAAACCTTTCAAATTGATGGAATCACGTAACATAATGCTGGAAGTGAGAGTGTGAGTAAGGGCGAAGCCTCTATTCTACCTACAGCCTGCACTCATACCCGCACCCTATCATCATCAAGCGTTGCCTATATTGCACTGAAAGGACGTTTTGATGATAGAAGACATTTTTGAAAGGACATGTTAATTTGTACCATAACAATACCGACATATCTTTCCTTTCTCATGGTTATCCTTATATTTCTCTCTTAGTTGTGTATATAAACGTGTCTTCTGTATGTGAGTGATGCGATTAATGATGTGCAGAAGTCGAATAAAGTGTAATTCCATCCACGCTAGTGCTTATTCTATGAAAAATAATCATAAGGAACATTAGAAAAATTGATTTTCGAATTTCGAGTAGAAACTTTGTATAGAGACGGTCCTTAATGAGAATAGTTTCTTGTAAATGTTTCATATCTTGTTGTTATTGTTCCTATCTCAACCCTCGAACACTTTTTTGTGGGTCCAACTAGACTCACAATGTCGTTTTTCCGTTTTCTGCTACATTAATACTTATTCTTTTCCGACTAATCTCTTTTCTAATCGTTAGTCTTCTAACAATGTAAAAAGGCCTTATTAACTTTTGTGAATAAGTATTACAGAAAAAAAAATTCAATGGGAGATCTACATGAAACAATTCAATCGTGATATTGATTTTATTGTATTTTGTTCGTTGTACAATATAAAAAAGAAATTTTTCTCATTTCTGCTACAATCAAACCTCTAGTTCGAGTTTCGTCCGTAATATTTTAATATTGTACTGGTATCATAATCTCTTAGAAAAATTTCTTTTGATCGGCAGCAATAAGTGAAGAACCTGAACTTTTCTCAGGACATTTAGAACTCATTTAGGTCTACGTAATGTATATAGTCCTGACTCAAAAGTGATTAATCAGTTGGGAGAGTTTCCTCATCAGTCCTTTCTTATCTCCGTCTAGTTACGCTACTAGTGAGAAGTCAATAGGTTGATGAGAGAAAAACGATTCTTTTTATTTTAGCATTTGGTATTGCCTTTCTAATTGCATGTGTTGGTACATTTTCACGTTTTCTTGCTTTACCATCAACATCATTACGCAAAGCAGAAGATGTTTGTCATGTTTTTGTTTTTTGCATTAATCGTTATCTGTAAATTTCTTTTTTTATTGTTAATTAGCCAACTTATCTTACTGCTGCTGTTTGGACAGTTCATTTTGGTTATGATAATAATGCTCGTCCAAGTCTTGATCGTGCTGCATCTGTACTTGCCGATACGAGTTAGTAAAAATTCAATTATTTGAATTAATCATTTTATTTTTTGAATATGAATCTAGATGCGGATGTCATTGGTCTTCTTGAAACAGATACAGCAAAACCATTTTTTGGAAATACTGATTTAACATCTTATTTAGGAGAAAAATTACATATGTTTACAGATTTTGGTCCATCAACAAAAGATCATACTTGGGGGTAAAATAAATTAAATAGAAATTGAAAAATAATTTTGTATCCCTCTTTTATTTTTATTTTTTTGTTTTGTTTTCAGATGTATTATTCTTTCGAAATATCCCATTGTTCGATCAGTACATTATTTATTACCATCACCAGAAGGTAAATATTTGAAATATAAAGATAAATATATTTACAAAATAATATTAGGTGAACTTGCTCCGGCTATTCTTGCAACAATTCAAACAGCAAGCAAATTAATTGATATAATTATTGTTCATATGGGTAATGATCGAGATGATTTAGATAGAAAATTACAGGCTGAAACATTACGAGATATTATGAAAAATAGGTTTGATATTTTATTTTATTTTTTTTACTTCAAAAAAAACAAATAAGATAGATTTTTATTTTTATTTTTTTTTAGTACTCATCCATTGGTTTTTCTTGGTTATGTAACATCGCAACCGTTTAGTCGTGATTATCGAACGTTAACATCAGCTGCAAAAGATATTGATCCAACAGATAGAGATCGATGGTGTGAATATATTTTATATAAAAATTTAATTCGGTAAATTTGATATTTTTCTTTTTTAAAAATTTTTATTACGAAGAAAAGACGAATTGTAGTGTTGGTTATGCTCGAGTGACTCATGCAGGTTTGACTGATACGGAAATTCAAATGGCTAAATTTAAAATTCCAACAAGTGAAAAATTTGATGATCATCCAGTTTTAGTTACTGATCCATCGGTTGTTACTGATCAATCACTTCTTTTTAATTCAAAGTAGAATTTACGATATGAAATTTATTGACTTTTTTTTATAATGATTATTTTATTTTTCATAAAAGATTTGGATCATTCTACAGAGGACATGGTTATTTTAATACTCATCGTTTTCATATGGATACACCAGTACGTTTATTTCTTCACTATATTTTAGTTTAATAAAATTTTCATTTTTAGAAATATTTTCTTGCACGTGAACATCAAACCAATTAATGTCGATTAAAGAAGATTTTTTTTGAACAAATTGACTGTGATTAAAGTGCTAATATTTCTCCTTTTTTTTTCATTGAATTAAAATTGTGTATTTCGCTATCTTTTTAAAAGATTCGTATAAAAGATTTTTTTTTCTATAATTAACGTCACTTAGTTTTTTGGCTTAATAAAAAAAAAAGAATCTTTTGTTCAATAAAAGATTTTTCTTCTAACACATTATTCTCAACAATGGCAAATATTTATTGATTTTATTCACATTGTTCATAAATCTTACGAGGAAATCTTTCAAGGGATCAAATCACTTTTCGATTGAGAGAATGTTTATTTGATGAGTAATAGAAAGGTCTAAAATGATTTGATTTTCCAGGTCTTCGTTTTCGAGACATCAAAAATTAACTTGGTTTTTCAATAAAAAGTTGTAGTTACGTGAAACATTGACTTCAAACTATACATGAATAAAGTTTTCAATTAAATTAGTTTATTGAATTAGTTGTAACTTTTCTAATACCTTCTATCTTGAAATATGGAATATTCGAAATTCTCTCTCATATGTAAAAGCAAATTTTGTTCATATGTTGATATCTCGAAAAAAGGAAATATTAGTTGCGTAATCAACTGATCTTATTAAGAACTTTATTCGTGCAAAGTTTGAAATTAAAAATTGAAAGTTGATTTTTTTATGTGACCATCGCTTTTTGTTAAAAAACTCAGTTAAATTTTGATGTTTCGAAAACAAAGACCTGCAAAAACAAAATCATTCTAGACTTTTCTATTACTCATCAAATGAACACTGTCTTGCTCGAAAATCGATTTTATACTTAGAGATGTTTCCTCATTAATAGAGACCTTGTCACCATGTCTATTGTTTTCATTTTTCTTTCAACTACAATTGATCGACATTAAAATATTGACAACGTACATCGTGATATAAAGCAAGAATAGTGATTTACAATTGCTTTCTTCCTCTTGTTCTTTTTTTTATATTTTTCGATCGTTAAAGTATAATAGAATGTTTTGTTGACAAATCACCTGAGTAGTATGACGTGAATGCAAATCATAAGAACAAAGTCTAAAAGTCGAGTATCTCATTTTCATGTGATAAGAATGAATGATACGATAAAATATTTTCTAAAACGACACGACATACAAGACATTTATAATTTCAAATATTTAAATAAATCAATCTTCTCTCTACAAATTAACAACCAAAGGAATACTTTCGAAAAAAAACGTGATGTTAACCACATCAATAATTACATAGATATTATTGATTATCCATCAGAAATATATTGAAAACTAACTGACGGTATCAAAGTAAAGAACCATTCAATTGTATATGAATAATCAAATTAGAAGCTTCATGTAATAAAAATATTTTCTCAAATTTCTGTTGTTTTTATTACCACACTTGATATATCTTTTACTACGTTTTTTTTTCTATCAAATATTTCTTTTTAAATACACTTGTAATCAGAGGTGCAGAATTTGCTGTAAAAATCAAAAATTTCTGCAAACCCTACAATAATGTCGAAAAATTTCCCCAGCTAGAAAAAAAATAAAAAGTAAGGCCTTCGTGTATGGAATATGTATCTATAAAGAAAGAGCATTGAAATAGAACTAGTTAAGACAAAGAGCGTGATATAAAAAATAATCCGTTCAACTGATCATCGAGTGACTCTGATAACCTTGATACTTGTTTTTTTCTCAAACGATTTAGCACAATTGATCCAGGTGATATTGTAGTGATAAATAAAAAGGAATGATGGTGTGATAGACTGGAGGAGTAACTTACCGCCGCCCTCGGTAATGATGTTTATTAGCTACTTCACATCTCCAGAATGTGCCTATTGCACATTCAACACACGCTTATACATATGATAGAGAAACAAAGAGAGAGACAACAATAGAGAGAGAAAGAGGAAAGAGGAAGAGCAACGAGCCGTAACGCATATATCGGCATAGATATAAGTTTCCATGTTTGATATTGTTCACGCTTTTTTTGTAAAATAACCAATTTTTTTCCTTCTGGCTACTAAAGTAGACATCCAGTGAATGTTTGATAAATGAATCAGCAAAATGTAACGGGGGAGCATTCCAATGAAGCATTACTTCGCTACCTTGAAGGTATGGGTGTGGGTCTGTGGTGTGATTTTGAGTGAAGAGAAGACCCACACTCATATCCTAAACCATCAAGAGAGACAATTAATAGTACAAAGGCAAGAAACTTGTGGATAGAACTATGGCACTTTGCAGTTTTCTTCACATGAAAAAAGGTTACTTTTTGCAACGACCTTGCAATTAACAAGTTTCCAAAAATTTCCCCGCTTAACAATTTTTCAAAAACTTTCCCACTCAATAATTGCTCAAAATTTCTTCACTTAACAATTTTGTCAAAAATTTCCCCAAACGCGCGCTTGCGCACGGGTAGATTCTGCACCTCTGCTTGTAATGAAGTTTCACGTTTCATATTAACATGAAACACTATTTATTATTCAAGTATTCGTGTAAATGTATACATGAATTGATGACATATGAAACATAGATAAATGAAAGTTATGATTCGAATCGTTATTTAGATCTAAAATATCCTGAAAGGGTCGAAGATGAATCATCGGTGGGTGATTCCATTACAAGATATACGTGTAGAAGATAAAATTGCATTTGATTATACTTTATTCGATTACGTTATGGCAACTAAAAAGAAAGAAATTTTACCATTTTCAGTGTCAATTTTGTATAAACGAGTCTATGAGAACTTCAATGAAATATTAAAAAACGTTATATTTTCTTTTTTCGCAGATTTTATTGCAAATTTTTTTTTTGTCAAATGTTTTCAAAAAAGATTAAAATGTCATACATTTCTCTTTCGCTCATATTTTTTCATTTACTCCTTGAATAAAGTATTGATTGAAGAAAATATTTATTTTTATCAATATTTAACGTAATGGTCAAGGAAATTCATTGACAGATTCGATATTTTATTTTATAATAATGAAAAAAGATTTAAAAAGATTCGAAGTGTATTGTATTATGTTCGCTTGTTATTTGCCAATAAATAAAGACGTTGTATAATTGTTATTAACGTGAAACTAATAGACCATAAATAACTGGATCATTCCTACATCTGAAGAAAACAAATGATAAAAATACCAATAAATAATTAGTTTTAAAAATCATACCCATTAACAAATTCTTGTTTACTTAATTTCTTATCACCGCTAATGTCCAGTTTAGCAATAATTTCCTTAGCACGTTTTTTCGGATTCCATTCACCTTTTTGATCATTTATACCAGCACGGTAGTACTATAGAATAGAAACAAAAAAGAAAATCTAATTTTATCGAACGAAAAATAAAATGCAGAAGAAATTTTACCATAGCTGATATTAAATTAGTTAGTTCTTGTTGATCAATTTGTCCATCTTCCGAATCATCCCATCTAAATTAAAGTGATAAATAGAAATAATAAAAAAAAATAAATCAATAGCTAATGAATACTAACAAATCAAATACAAATGCAAGTCTTTGTTCTAAACTGCCTAGTTTTTTTCTAATAGCAATTAGTACAAGAAGTTCATTGAAATCAATTGTACCATCATCATTTACATCGATTCGCTCAAAGATTTGTCTAAATATTATCAATAAAAAAATTCGATAAAATTTATAACATTATTCTTACATAACGTCTGCTTTATCATCTGGATGTAATTTCTGATAATAATCAATAAATGTCTTTTGATCGAGTGTACCTGATGGATATTGACGAAGAAAATCCTGCAAACGAAAAAAAACAACGATCGGTTATTTGGACAGTTTGTTCGAAGAAGTATGATTAATACAAAATACCGTATGCCATTCTCGAATTTCTGTTTTATGAAAATAAATGAAAATAGAAGACTTCAATATTTAGTAAAACTTGTTTTACCTTGCTCAGTAAGTTTACCATTTGCTGCAAGTATATTACATTCTAGAATTATATAAAAAAGGACGGTCTGAATATAATTTACTAAAAACCAAAACAAGTTTACCCTTAGGAGTCAAATCCATATTTGTTCGACTTTTTTTTGACATTATTTTTCTTCGTTGATAAAGATA